TTTCTTGTAGCTCAACAAAAGTTTTCCCCCATTTTATTCTTTTTGGATTCATGATAAAATGACTGTAAAGAATCGATAAATGTTTTCAAATCAGAAATAAACAACCGCTGGAACAAAATATGGCCATTTTAAGTTGGGGTATTTTTTTGTTTTCAAAAATTTGCGCAAATGACATTTTTTCGAGGACGAATAAAAAACGACAATATTCATGAAACTAAAATATTTCTTCACCAGAGCATACACCGATAAATATTTAGATAGCACAAAAAGTTTAAATCCAAAAATCGTACGGGAAGTATGAAATTTAGACGCTCAAAAATGGGCTTAATTTTAGGCCCTGTCAGAGTAAAAACGATAGGGGTGGTCATTCTAAGAGGGCAAAGGTTTAGAATTCCTTAAAACCCTACCATTCGTATTCATTTGGGATAGACTTTGCATGAATAGAATATCTTTGAAATCGGCCGACCCTCATCTTTTGGACCTGCCTGGTTTTCTCAGTCAATGACTCTTAATCTCACCTGCCAGTTTAATGACACAGCCGGAACAATTATAACAGACCTCCAAGACACAGAAACAACAATAGCAACGCCTAGTCCAAGCAGCCTAAAACAGCTCCTTAGAAATGCAACTCAAGTAAAACGCCTGAACGAAATGAAAGAACAATCATGGCTTGTTGCGTTTTCCTCTAACCAACTTGAAGATAAGGACATGTTACCAGATGCCAACCAACTGTTCAGATCCTGGAAGAATATSCCAGACGTTGTTTACAGTGTCAACAAGAAAATTAGGCAACAACTCTTACCAACAAGAACCTACCAACAAAGCAAACTACAAAAGCAAGTCACAACAACAATATGCAGAATGTGTGAATCACAAATAGAATCCACATCGCACGTGCTAAGCGGATGCAGTAAGATCGCTCAAAGTTTGTATACAGCACGTCACGATAAAATGTTGCGACCTGTCCACCACTACCTACTACATAAATACAACTTCACAGAAAGCGACAACAGCAAGCCATGGTACCAGCAAAAACCTCCAACAGCTGTCATAGAGAATGAAGATGCCTAAATCGTATGGAACATCCCGTTTCTACTAGAGTCACCACCAGAGGACGGCGCTAACAAGATTGAGATGGCGGTATTTGAAAAGTAAGCAATGGATACTTTTAGAAAGCACAGTCTGCCAAGTTGGAAAGATAAACCAAAGAGAAACATTGAAGCAGAACAAATATAGCGACTTGAGGAAAGGAATTAAGAATCTATATAAAGACTGTAGTATAACTCAAATTAACATCGTGTTCGACTTCCTAGGCGGTCACCATAAGTCACTCCAAGACCAAATGACAAAAATAGTTGAGGACAAAGGACAATRAGAATACCTTGTTCAGAAATGCCAGAAATGGATTATTTATCAAAACATTGTGAAAAAATTCTACTCATACATTTAGACAGTGATACTGTCCACAAAGAAACAACAAAGCCTAGGCTACCAGCCCGCCTTGTTGTTATAGCTGTTACACATTGAGACACCAAATAAAGATACCATAGTAATAATAACATAAGCCACTTATTTTACATGGACGATCTAAACTGTTTGCAAAAACAGAACAGCAACTGAGTGGGGCCTTGCATGTAGTTAAGGAGTTTAGTGATGACATCCAAATGAAGTTTGGTTTGAGTAAATGCGCCAAAGCTACTTTAAGACGCAGACGAATAATAAAGAGGGAGAATATAATGATTGATGTCGACAACGCAATAAAGAACCTGGAGCAAGAACACACCTATAAATACCTAGGAGGCGAAGAGAATGAAGGGATTCAACACAGTAAAATGAAAGAAAAAATCAGGAAAGAGTAGTACAGAAGGGTGAAAATGGTTTTGAAAAGTGAGCTTCACGCAAAGAACAGGATCGAATCAATAGATAGCATTGCGGTGCCTGTAGTGCAGTACAGCTTCGGGATCATTGATTGAAAAGTAAGTGAGATTGTAAAGCTCGACAGAAAAACCCGAAAACTATGGATAAAATGCTCCATCCAAGATCAGATGTAGACAGGCTGTACGTACAACGAAAGGAAGGCGGGAGAGGACTGACTCAACTAGAAGCGTCTTTTGAAACATCAATGGTCGGCTTAGATTGTTACATTTCACTAAAGCAAGAGACAAAGCTAAATCTAGTTAAAAGTCATGACAGTTACAAAGCCAAGTATTCTATCACAAAAACGGCCACGAAAGTGAAACAAGAGTATGATCTAGCTGATGAAGTATGTAGAGAAGACAGAACACCATCTGAAAATGCCAAAGCTCTTAAGACGAAATTGAAAGAAAAATTCCATCAAAGATGGAAGGAACAGTGGGAAGGGAAACCATTGCACGGGCAATATCCAATAAACGTGCAGAAGCCCTATGTTGATCAAGCAGCTACCAACTTATGGTTAACAACAGGCGACTTAAAAGGTGAGACTGAAGGTTCCATCATTGCTGCACAAGACCAATCGCTAATGACACGCAACTATCAAAATTACGTCCTTAAAGACAACACCACTGATGATCTCTGCAGACACAGTCCTTAAAAACACATAACAACGCAGCCTCTTACTTACACTGGGTTATCTGCAAAGATCACGGAGTTCAGGTGACAGACAAGTGGTACCAGCACGATCCACCAAAGGTTGCAATCAAAGATCACATTACCATCATGTGGGACTGTTCAATAAAAACAGATAGGGTAATTCATGCGAACAGGCCTGACATAGTGGTTAAAGACAGCATAAACACGTGCCAACTGTTAGAAAAAAGTGAAAGTTACAACTTACTGACATCATATTTAAATAGTAATCTGTTGAAAAAAGTGTTCATAAATCGAGAAGTATATATTTTAGGTTTAGCTGCAGCAGAGTATCTTAAGTTATATCTAGTTGATTTAGGCTTAGGTATTGAACTGTAGAGCAGATGACTTGTCCTGTTGTTCTAAGATCTTGTTTATGTCTAATCTGATGGATATATATAGTTTATATCATGGAAAGTGCGACGTGCGGGATTTTATTCACGAGTTGTTTGCATCATACAACGAACGAGCGAGGAACGAGCGAGTGAGTTTATGATGCAAACAACGAGTGAATAAAATCCCGTACAAAGGACTTTCCATGCTATAAGCTGTTTATTATACAGTTATGTAAAAAGATAAATTTAACACCGTAAAAAAGTATGTGGAAAAACTTACTGACGTTTCGGATGTTAATCCTTCGTCGGAGTAAAGATAGAGAACTAGGTATAGTGTGAGTTTATATAGTAAGAGTAACAAAGAGAATAGACCAATAGGAGCAAGGTAGGCATGGTAACGAAAAATAAACAAAAAAGCAAAGGAAGTGTTAGACAAAAGAACAATAAAGGTGCTAAAAAGGAAACAAAAGAATTAAAACTTATCTGAAAACAAAGCGTTCACTCAACCCATGGGGATTATAAGTGCCCAATTGGTGAATGAGCCGCATTTCTTTGGATTTGCGACAATCATTATTGCCGCTAATCAAAGACAAACCAAAAACAATAAAGTTAGAAATAGAGTGGTTGGGTAAGTTAAAATGGCGGGAAACAGGCTTATCAAGATCATTCTTACGAATACTACGAAGATGTTCACAGATACGATCGCCAAGACGACGGCCAGTCTCACCGACATACAACAAATTACAAAGCGAACATTTAATGCAATAGACAACATTAGAGGTGGTACAATCAAAGTGATCAGTGATTTTGAGTGACGAGTTAGGACCAACAATGGAAGTGTGCGAGACAATGTACGGACAAGTGTTACAGCGCTTGCGTGAGCAACGAAAAGTGCCAGGATCATTATTAGAATGTAAAACACCTTTGACTAGGAAAGAACGAAGGTTACGGTCACGTTTATTAGAAAAAAGGGGTCGGTCGTTGAAGATGTGAGAAGTGTTAGTTTCAGAAGTGAGTAAGAAGTAGTTACGATTAATAATAGGCTTAATAGAACTGTTAATAGGATGATAAGTAAGAGTGAAAGGAATACGGTCATTAGGAGCACGAACCTTAGGTGTGAGAGCAGTGTTACGATCAATGAGAGAGACTTTACACAGAGCTTGATCAACGACATGTGGAGGATAGTTACGATTAAGAAAAAAGGAACGCATCTCCATGCATTTGTTAGAAAAGTCATTATCGTCGCTGCACAAGCGACGGAGACGTAGAAATTGAGAGAAAGGAATAGCATTCAGAGTATGCTTAGGGTGAGAAGAAGAATAGAGAAGATAAGAGTGAGAATCAGTAGGCTTATAATGTACAGTAGTGCTGAGATGAATGTCAGTAATACTGACTTGAATGTCAAGAAAAGTGACTGACCTGTCACTGACTTCAGAAGTGAATTCTAAGGCAGGGTGGAAAGACTTAACATAAGAAATGAAAGAGTCTAAATCGTCACGAGAACAAGAGGTAGCCCATATACAGTCGTCAATATAGCGGCCAAAAAACTCAGGTTTAGGACCGGTATATTGTTGAAAGATAAGGTTTTCAATGTAAACAAATTAGCATAACTAGGGCCCATTTTGGTTCCCATAGCAACGCCATTTATCTGCTTGAAAAACTGATCACCAAAAGAAAAACAGTTAAGAGTGAGAACAAGTTCGGCTAAGCGTAATAAAGTAGGAGTACTAGGCTGAAAGACAGAACGACGATCAAAGAAATAACGAAGGGCGCGAAGTATACAAAGATTTAACATCCATAGTGAACAAGAATTTATTAGAGTTAGCGGGAAAGCGGAAATCATTAAAAATAGAAAGAGCATTGTAATTTTTAGACAATGATTATTTCTGTTACATGCAGTTCTTTATTTTAAATCAACTAACAGTTTCAATAGATTATTTGCAGTTACCATCGTTAATGTTGTGAAGTGATTCTATGATCTGACCTTCAAAAGAAATTTGTAATAATAATAATAACTTTAATCCTCATAATATCAAATTGATACATAGGATTCAAACATTACCGATACACCTAATAAGATGTTAAAAAACAGAATTACGATCATAAAAGAATAACTATATGAATTACATTCATCATTATATATATACTTAAAATATCAAAACAATATTGGAAAATAATTTTGTATTAGATTCATCTTACATTAAAAACAGATACTTAAAATTAAAAATTTTCTTTTTTTTGCAATAGGTTCAAAGTTTATCACCTATTTCATATTAAGAAACAAATAGACAGACAGCCATTAGTGGAAAATTACATACATTTCTTTGTATTTTTATTTCACCATACCTTTTTTCCTATTTTGTTCTGAGTTCTATAAAAGCAGCTAATTATTGAATGCAAAAGGAATCAACAGGGAGTTATTTTTTACAAATTATCTTCTTCACATGTGTGAATGCAAATCGCTCAATGATTTAAAAGTTCCTTTAGATCGACTACATAGTATTGGTAAATTCATTTAATCTAAATTGCACACTTATTATTCTCTGCATTTTGACAATCATTTACAAAACGGTAATGAATGTGTAAAAACTTTGTCACTGTCATGTAAATGAACTACCAGATATAATCATTTCTGGAAAGTTTTATAGCCCGGGATAAAATGCGAAAGTTATGGCCAAATGAAAATACAAGAAATCTATGTAATTTACAGACAAGGCCTTTATAGCCTCGTTCTGGTGTTGTGGTGTATTGAATCCTTATTACTTCACTAGAATTCCTATCAGCTGTCAGTTTACTTTGACTAAAATTCTAAATTTTAAAAATTGATGTTAATTAGATGGCGTCCATAATGGTAAACGTCAGGAGCCCATTACTAGGAGCCTTCCTCTTCTTCATAAGCTCTTGGAACGGCATTTACCCCTCTTGCTGCTATTTTTAGAATTGCTCATTATAAATTCAGCGCAGAACAGCCAATCAGAAAGCGACTTGAACAATAGGTTTCTGAATGACCGACAGCCGCCGGTCGACCGCCGGCGAGGAAGACCTTAGTACTAGACTATTTCAAAATTCATTTTCAGGATGTTTAAAGTTAACTTTTAGTAGAAATATGTCCCAAAAAAGGAAAGCAGAATCACCTTTCGCTTTATATTTAGCCGATGAGGAAGCCAGTGATAGAAAACAGGTGTTATTACTCTTGGGAATATAGGAGAAAATCTGGAGAAAAAACAACAACCAACAATTATGAACTTTTCATTGAGCAGCCGAAGACCAACAAAATTCATTGGACAGCAAAAGCAACAAACATTGACTCAAATCACACTCTGGATCTTTAACTGATAACCAGAATATGAAATCAAATGGCTGTTGAAGACGAGGAAGCGGAAAATTTTCAACTTGAGCAAACTTGAGCAAACTGAACATGACTGAAGCAAGTAAGCTTGTAAATTTTTACATGCAAATGGACATTGAATGGAACTCTTTTTTGGGTTGACTAATTTATATGAACATAAAACAACAACACTTTAGAGGACTGTTTATCGGCTGTTCAAGAAAAAAGGCGCCGAAATTCCGTAAAGCTTAAGGTAACTTCATTTGTGAAGAGTTTTTGTTTAGATGCAAAATATTGTACAACAACTGTCACAAACAAATTTATTAAATGCTAATTTTTACATTTGTGATGTCACATTTTTTAGATGAAGAACTCATTATAAGAATAGATTATTTTGTGTTTACTGTCATGCTTTTTGATCAGATTCGTCGGTAAAAGAAACCAGAAATGTCGATTCTTTCATGTATGAGCTTTTTCGATATGCTTATTTTTTATACCTTTTCACTATCTTTAGACATTTAAATATAATAGTTAAAGGTGCCATTGAACCTTTGTTACAAAATAGTTTTTGTAAAAGCGAAAATTTCTTCACTTATACAACTTAAAATTCAATCTAAAAACACCTGACGGCGGCCGGCGGCTCTTCAAAGCTCGGCATCTCAATAAGCGCGCGGGGAATGGCGGGAAAATCTAAAAATAGCACCAAGAGGGGTAAATATATGCCGTTCCACAAGCCCATGGGAAGAGGAAGGCTCCTAGTAATGGGCTCCTGTAAACGTGTATAGGAATTGTTGTATTTTTTCTGCGCTCGCTCGTTGACCATATTTGGATTAATGAATTCCATGTTTGGAAACTGAGCCAGCTCGCGTGCGTGAACCAGTGAAAAAATAAATCAAAAATTTTTATAAGTAGTTTGGTAAATCTAGCCTTCTCCGCAGGCATCTCTATAAATCCTATATCTAATTTACGAACGGTTGGGCTTCCTTTGGTGAGAGGCGGTCAGATTTCGTCTTTTGTATACAGTCCTTTGACTAAACGTTGTCGTTTGATCGGCTTCATGCCTACGCGCCTAGACCGAAAAGGATCATGGGGAAAACTAATTAATGCACAGCTACTCGCTGCCATATGAATTATCTAACAAGGCGTGAGGTGGCAGTATACGATCCCATTCTAAAATTTGTTAACACCATGCCTCGGGCATACGGCGAAGATTTACGCTGGCGAGCAGTTTGGATGACGCAAGTTCTCGGAATGAAAACTGAGGAAGTAGCAATTTACTTGGCGATATCTCCTCGCACTATACATCGCTACATTTCTAAATTCAATGACCAGGGAAACGTGGCACCAGCGAAAGTTGGTCGCCCCTATAATAGTTTGTCAATGCATCCACAAGTTGAGTATGTAATAATGGAGGCAGTCTTAGAACATCCCGAGAAAACCCTCGCGGAAATTGCCAATAATATTTATGAACAAACTGGTGACGAATACTCTTTGTCTGGAATTTTGCGCTATTTGAAGAGAAACAATATCACACGTAAGAAGGTATGCACATTGTACGCTCGTCATATTTTTAGTCATGTTATGTGCTAACA